ACCCTGCGGGGCCCCGCGCCCCTTCCTGCGCCGCCACTCCCGTGTCGTCTCAGGGTCCCTCTCCCCAGACCTCCCCGAGAGCCGAAACCCTTGCGATGTGGGAGCCGCTTCACGCGCTGCGCGTTCTTCGTCTCTCCCTTGCTTGTCCAGGCTGCGGGTGGCCAGGAGCGCACAGGGACCCCAAACTCCCAGACCAGTTCAAGAAGGGGCCCCCTAGAGACGACTGTGGGCGTCGCCGGGCTCTCAGGAGACTCCGTCATGAGCCAGAGTTGGTCTGAAACAGTAGCAGCGTTGATTTCAATGAATCCACTGCTTTTTCCGTGCATTCGAGGCCTCCGGCAGAATCCAAAGCTTCTGTTTCCTTCTAGAGAAAATGTTAACCGTCGACACTCTCACCGGTCTTTGTAGATTTGGCAAAGTTCATGGAGACTCTCACATCGATCTACCGACCTGTAAACGCGGGTTTGAGTGAGCCCTCTTGCTGGCTGTCCTTCCCTATTGAAATGTCTCCACCCCGCAGGCTTTCTCTGTGTAGCCAGGGCTGTCCTGGAACTCAGTCTGTAGACCACGCCTGCCTCTGCCTCCCGAGTACTGGGATTAAAGGAGGGGCCACTACACCCCGCAGTTGGATGACTCCTAAACAAGCGGGAGAAGCATCAACACAGAGCCTGAACTCTCCCTTGAAGAAAGGCCAGTTTACAGTCTAAAACAACAAAGTGTGGTGGCCTGTAATCCCAGCACTCCCTCGGAAGGTAGAAAACTTCGTATCTCTATAAATTCCAAGGTAGCCAAGAGCTACGTCGTGAGGACCATGTCTCAAAAACAAAAACAGTAAGCCCTTACTTTGTGGCTGAATTTTCACCAAGTCAAGCAACGCACACGAACTGAGTCAAAAGGTTCATCTGCAAGTGTGTGTCTCCTGCCTTTTGGGAACTTATTTAAAAATACTTTTATGCTAGGTGGTAGGGTGGTGGTGCACGCCTTTTGACCCCAGCACTTAGGCAGTGGCAGGCAGATCTCTGATCTCTGAGTTGGAAGCCAACCTGGACTATACAGCTAGAATACACCAGGTGTTAGTACTCGGGCATCTGTACTGGCTGTCCTTGGGGTTCTGACAGGACACGCCCTCAGCTGCAGCTACTAAGAGCACCACCTGAGCACATTCACTATGTTCCCTTTAAAAGAGCCCTACCCGCCTCCCATGCTTCTCTCTCTATTTCACTCTGTTCCCTCTCTCTCTCCCCACTCCCCATGCTCCTGTCCCCAGAGGCCAATCTCCACCTTCCCTTTCCCCCTGTGATTCCTTTCCCTAAAAACCCCCTGCCTGCCTCTCCCCCTCTCTCCCCCTCTCCCTTTCTCTCCCCCTCTCTCCCCCTCCCTTTCCCTCTTCCCTTCTTTCCCTCTCTCTCCCTCTTTCCCCCTCTCCCTTTCTCTCCCTCTCTCTCTTTCTCTCTCTCTCTCCACCCTCTCCCCCTCTCTCTCCCCCTACTCTCCCCCTCTTTCCCTCTCTTCCTCTCCCCTCTTCTCTCTCTCCCTCTCCCTCTCTAGTTGCACCACTTTTCTTACATTTTAACATTTAACATTTAACATCCCTGATAGAGAAGGCTCTCCTGGCGTCTCCTCCTGCCCTCGGGCAGTGTGAGGTATGCCAGGATCCTGGAACTCAGTTTACTTACAGCAGCCTCTCTTCTCCGGATTGCGGAGTCCTTCATCCAAAATCAGCACGATTGGTGAGCCACTCCACACCTTAGGCTCTTCCCACAAATAAGGATTCCTCGTCTCAAGGGTGGTTTCTTGCATTTTGGCCTCTGTTAAGTCCTGGTATCAGAAACCACTGCTCTCTCAGGCTCTGAGTCCTTGGCCCTCACCCTTTGATTTATAGCCGACTGGGTGGCCTGTGCCACTCTTGGACCCTCAGGTCCTTATCCCCCACAGCTTGGTTGGCAAATCACTGAACTGGCTTGTGCCTTTCTTGCTAGATCCTTGCTTGACAAAAGCCACTGGGTCTTGCTCTGCTCCACTCACTGGGAATAAGCCGACCAAAAATGCTCTTCCCGGCACTTTGTAATCACTGCGTGCTTGAACCTCACCCTCCTGCTCCACCTTCAATAGACCCGCTCTTCCACCTGCCGCAAAGCTGCTTTTTCATTCACTGATGGCTCTGCCTTCCATTCAATACCAACCATTGGTCTCTGGTGGGGTTATCCACTTCTGACCATTGCCCTGCACGTGAGGCTTCCTTTCTGGAGCATGGTCCTTTCCTCCCCTCTGGCTTTTCTGGAAGTCCTGGTAGCTGGGGACTGTGTGTCTCTTGAGCTCAGAGCCCTTGGTCCCCACATTTCAGTGACGCCTCACTGGGAGGCCTGTGCCTGTCTCAAAATCAACCCTGTCTGAATTCCTGGGATGCTAGGAATTGCAGACCCTTGGGTCTTACTTCTCTGCCTCACTCATGGGAGCTGTGTCATCGTCTATACCTCCTTGCTCCCACTGATATGTTTTTTGGAGAGTCACTGACCATTCTTTTTTTAAAGATTTATTTATTATATATACAATGTTCTGCCTGCATGTATGCCTGCAGGCCAGAAGAGAGTGTCAGATCTCATTACAGATGGTTGTGAGCCACCATGTGGGTCCTGGGAATTGAACTCAGGACCTCTGGAAGTGCAGCCAGTGCTCTTAACCTCTGAACCATCTCTCCAGCTCCCACTGACCATTCTTAATCAGCCATTGTGGCAGCACTACCAGCTGTTGGCCGTAGAACTGGAGGCACAAGATTATCAAACATGACCAGGTGATGGTGTGGTGATGGGAAAGGCACCTGATGGCCCCTTTCCAAAGGGCCCTGCCTACATCCATCCTTCTCTCTTTCTTTCCCCTCCCCCTCATCCTACTCTTTCCCCTTCCCCCTCTGTCACACTTTCTTCTCTCCTGCTGCTCCTGTCCCTGGAGCCAGTCTCCCCCCTTCTCTTTCCCCTTTTTATGATCCCTTTCCCTAATAAAAACCCTCTGCTTGAACCCTGTAGCGTGGCGTCTTTCTCTCCCACACTGCTTTTCTTAAGTTAAAACAAGATGGTCCTGCCTTGCAGAGACAGAGGACTGACTTGTAAGCTCCTTGCTTTTTCCTTCCCAGTTGCAGGAGATTAAACCCCTCTGCAGTCAGGTTTTCTGCTTTAACATCAGTGTCTGTACTTTGAGTAAAGTGGAACTTGCTGCAGATGAAGCCGGGGTCTTTGTGTGTGACATGAGTCTCTCCCCTCAGCTGGTCCTCTCCTCCTCCATCTTCTTGACTGGGTCCGACTGCACGTGTGTGAGGTAGACAGTTTATCGGCAGATGTTCTGGGCAGTGAGAACCCAAGCAAACATGAGAGCTTCTGGAACTTGGTGAGTATAACGTGGGCAGCCCCCTCCTTCCTTCTGCTTTGCATTCTGCATCCTGGTGCTGTCAGGTGGCTATAGGATGACGACTGCTCCAGGCCTTGGCTCGGCTCTTTTGAGTTTCTGATCCTAGCAGCAGTTTTACATCTTTCTTTCTCTGCTGCAGAGTAGTTTCAAACTAATTTAGCATGAAGGGTAACACTTGCTGTTGGAAAGGAAGTTTGATTTGTTTATAGAGCTGAGGAAGAGAAGGTAAGATGGTCAAAGTGGTTGATGGGGACTAAGCTGGGGATGGAGTGCAGATGAGCACAGTGGCTGTTCTGAGGTAGAATACTTAGGGCCGTAATGTAAATAGCAGATAATTACATTAGGATTTATAACTGTAGCTCGGGGTGGTGGTGGCAGCGCACGCCTTTAATCCCGGCACTCGAGAGGCAGGGGCAGGCAGATCTCTGTGAGTTCAAGACCAGTCTGGTCTACAAGAGCTAGTTCCAGGACAGCCTCCAAAGCCACAGAGAAACCCTGCCTCAAAAACAAACAAACAAACAAACAAGGATTCATAACAGTAGCAAAATACAGTTATGAAGTAGCAATGAAGTAATTTTATGGCTGGGGTTCCAGCATTAGTAAGATTGAGAACCACCGATCAGGGGCTTGTGGCATCCTAGAATACCTGCCGGCATCTTCGAGATCACAATCTCTAGCATCACCAAAAGAAAAAGAATATCCTTGGTTGTTTTGTTTTTGGTTGTTGCTGTTGGTCTGTTTGGGTTTTTTTGTTTTTTGTTTTCCTTTGAGACAGGGTTTCTTTGCTGTGTGTGTTTGTCTGTCCTGGAACTCTCTGTAGACCAGGCTGGCCTTGACACCTTGACTCACAGAGATCCCTACCTCCTGAGTACTGGGATTAAAGGCTGTGACACCACTGCCTGTCTGCTTTGGGTTTTGAGACAAGGTCTCCTTATGTAGCCCTACTGGTCTGGAATTTTTGTTGTTGTTGTTTTTGACAGGTTTGGGTGGCGTGGTTGCCTATGTTCCCAGTGATGTGGTGCTGGGGATGGCCACCAGCCTAACTCTTAAGTTCAGTGAGAGATCCTGTCTCTAGGGACTAAGTCATAAGTGCTGATCACCTGATAGTCCTCTGGCCTCCTCATGGTACACAACTGTACACACACAGA